CGCAGTGCCTGAGGCGCCCGAAGAGGAGCAGGAAGCCATGGAGGTAGAGACCGTTGCGGAACCTGAAGAAATCCCAGAACCATCTGTCATCGCGGAGGACGAGCCAGAACAGGAACCTGATGAAGAAATGGACATAGAGCCTGGAGAGGACTTTGATGACGCAGTTCCAGAAGCAATTGCACAGGAACGTCGTCCCGTCTTCGTTACCGGCCAGTCTTTGAACATCGATCCTGAGCTACAACTTGCACGTACCGCCATGCAGCCATCCTACTATTCTGGAAAGCGAAATGCCCATTGCATTGACGCGAACATGACCGCTATTTCGTACATGGCATACGTGGTATGCAGATCCATCTACAAGGCTTGGTCAGGATTCGCAAAGTGGGCGACTATGCCGTTGTTCCAGATGAGGGAAAGTTTCGCACTTGGCCAACGCTATGATGTGCTCGGAAAGTGCGGATCTTTGGCGGCAGTGGATAGGGAAACGGGTGTGAGCAAGGATGTGACTGATGAGGAGATCATTCGCTTTGCCAAGGAGCCTGAGAACCTCAAGCAGTATGATCCCAACGGGACTTACACCTTGAAGCGCTTCCGGACGAACCAGATGCTTTCGTTGCTTACACGGGGAGCCAACATGATGGGAATTGGCAGGGACAACTTCAACCCTACTACTTACTTGAAGAGCGAAAGGGATGAAGATGTGAAGGCTATGCACTTTTGTTGCCTGAACGTCCTGTGCGAGGTGATTCCAATGGTGACGGGACACCAACAATTCTCAGTGCTACGACCAACGCCAACTGGACCGGTGGACTTCTTGTACATCGACCCCGTCGGTATCCTGCTGACTCATTCCGATCATTCAGTCCAGACCATCGGATTGCTGGTGGACCACAATGTGCAAATGCCTGCGCATTTCATGGACAGATTGAACAGATCCAAGGCTGAGAGACAGCAAAACCCGACGACCAAGCGTACTGAAGCCCTACACCACATTTCGGCCGCTGACTATCTCCCTCCAGGTGGTACTTCCATCCTGGACACGCCTGTCACTACGGAGGAACGTGAAAGCGCTTCTTCGGCCAAGGGACCTTCAAAAGGGCGTGGGAGAACCGGAGGTGAGCAGCATGGAGGCTGGAACTCCAACTCCTACTACGACTACACCGCCGGCAAAGGCCGAAACAAAGGCAAGGACAAGGGAAAGCATCGGGAACAGTATCCAGAGGAAAACCTCCGGCCCTGGGACCGCGATCCTGCGACCACGCGAAGATGGAGATGAATCAACGCTTGGTCTTCCTCGCCTATCAGTTCGTGACCTCTGAGCTTCGCCCATGGAATGCCATCGCGAATGCTTCTTTCTTCGGTGACGCCTGATTCGTTTGCCATTTCAGGGGATCGTTACCGACGTAGATGAGTGTCACAACGTTTCTAATTGGGATGCAAAGCTCTGATTTTCAATGTCAACGTTGCGGCGGAACATTTTCTGTTGTCCTATCGTGCCATCTTACGGGTGAGCAGCGTCGGAGACGCAACTCATGGGGGGTGCGAACGGACTGCGATGCCTTGTCAAGTTCTAAGGTGTCACTATAAGAGCTGTGAGCAAGACCGTGTAAAGTGCAAGAGAAGGGGGCACGCTACGCGTCCCTCGACTCTAAGGGGGCATGCTACGCATCCCTCATCTTTACCTTTCTATGTGACCGCCAATGCAACGTTTGGCTCAAGTCAATGCCCATAGCTAAGTGCTATATGTGTCTTCTATCCTGAGCAATCAGAGCTATCCCGTTGCACAGACGAACCGTCGCCGGCAGTGAGTGCAAAAGGAACGGCCGCCGGTTCTGCCTGCATAGGATTGCACGTGTGGAAGTAAGAGGGAGAGACAGGGTCCAGTCTGTGGAGAGTGCAAGCCAGCCACACCTACATTCATTACAGCTCTGGTGGGGAGAGCAGCGACCAAGTCGAGATCAATCCCCCACGCAATATATATATATATATTTGTGCATATTTATGTGTATTTGTACATTCACGTACTCATGTCTACATACATCTACATTTATATTTGTATATATATACATACACATTTGCTGTGTAATGTAGGTATCCAGTCTTTCATATGTTCTACGATACGTAACATCGAACATTCAACATAGCAAAGAAGCAAGTATACATACTATAGACGGTAAATATGAAGCACGGGTACAGATTACGGAGTGTGCACATATATATATATATGTGTATATATATATATCCAAAACTACATGCATGCTTATATACCAACATAAAAGCATGCCCGTTGTGCCGGGAACGTTTTCGACATATATTACGTAGTTTGAATCTCGTATTGGTTTTTAGATGCACACTTTCTTTCATGGCAGAAAGCTGTATATATATATATATATATATATGTGCGTATGTATGTACATCAGGCACATAAATGTAAGTTTCCTCTTCAGGAACAACAGTAGTTGTAAAAAGTTTTGTCTAGTCCAGTGTGTTGTAGTTCAGTATGTATAATATGGTACAGTATGGTCCGGTATAAGGAAATACAGTACAACGTAGTACACTACAGTGTAGTATAGTGTATAGCGCAGCATTGCATAGTACAGTGTAGATAGTATACTTTACCATCGCATAGCACAGCATGGTATGGTATAGAAAACTATAGTATGCTACAGCGTACTATACCTTACCATGCTTTAACTTTAGCATACTGTACTATACCATTCTGCAATATACTGCACCCTATAACATTTTAGTATGGCTATGCTATACTCGACTCTGCTACAATATATCCAATATACCGTATATGCTGAAATACATGAATGTATTTATACATGTACATAGATATGTATACAGATCTGGTACATACATATATATGTATATACAAATTCTAGTTGTTCATTTATTTTTACATATATGCACATATTCACGCACATGCACGCACACAACCAATATATATATATATGTATATATATATATGTATATATACACGTGTGTTTCTCTGTCTCTCTCTTTCTACAAGAATGGATACATGCACTCCTGTGTGTTGCAACACGCAGGAGGGAGGCTGCCGGCTGGGAGATTCATGCCGGTTTTGCCACCTTTGTTCGCACGAGCAGGTGGGGAGACAAGGGTGTGCTCGTTCTTAAGATGAAGATCTCAGGTGTAAAACCCTGGCATGGCAAAGTTCTATATTCTGTGCCTCCTAGACACGGCAACCTGTAGGACTTTATTTCGTGGAAGAGTCCGAAGTAGAAGTGGTGCACGATTATGTGGACTCTCTCGGGCTTTCGACCCGCCCCCCTTGTCAGGCGAGAGCAGAGCGACTGCGTATCAAGTACGAAGATCGCCGCACCAAGCGGCGTCAAGGCTTGAGAAGGAGATGACATTTAAAGTGATTCAGACAAACGCGAATTCTTTTCGCATGTTCGGCGCGACTGTCGCCACTCTTGCATGCCATCCGGTTGCTGGGGGCTGTCGTGTCCTGAGTTTCTGCTAAGTACGAGACTGGTGGAAGGAAGAATCTCAGGTGAGAAGCACCCAGCAGCTGCGCATACAGCGAAGATGGACAGAATGCTTCCTATGCTCGAGTTTTCCTTATTTATCATTGACCAAGACTTCGGGGTCCGGGTTCTGAGCAGAGCACGGAGAATGCTACGACTTTTGTTATTCTTAGGAGTCTGGTCAGTCCGACTCCCAGAAAAGCTGGTGTCCCGCTGGTTCTTTTTCTAGCCCACGGCTTCTGGAGCAGGATATTCTGCCTGCGTCGACAGACACGCACAGCAGGACTTGGAGGTGGGACAAAAGCTCGTGTGCCAGCAGTAGTTCGAAAGCTCTGCAAAAACTCTCTAAGTCCATGAACTGCACTGTTCGGAGTCTTCGGATTCCAGTCTCAGCCAGAGACACTGCGATTTTGCATTCGAAGAGCTCTCAGTTCCTGCGCGGATCTCGGGTTCTCGATCAGCCGTTTCACACATCCGGTCATCCAAGCTAATTCTTTGTTGGCTTGTCGGCTGCGCTTCGCATGAGGCTGAAGGACGGCGCAATGCGTTGCAGCCACTTGCTGCTTCAGAGAAGGTTTGGAAGATGGACCCGGTGGCAAAAGCTGCTCACAGTTTGCAGACAGACGGAAGTCTCCACCTTGGCTCCGGTCGCGAATTTTCAAGCGGCTTTTCGAGCTGGCTGGAGATGACATGGGTTTCAGTCCGGGCATCAGCCGCTACGACACGCTATCGTAGAAAACACACCTAGCAGTCTCTGAAACTTCATGTTGCGGAGTTCATGGGACGCTGTGCCGGGCAGTACTTGGCCAGCATCCCGAAAGAAATGTCTCATCTGCGCCTGGGCCGTGGGCAAGACGTTGAAGGAGACAGGGCTTCTTGTTGTTTCAGTAGTGCTCAGACGAAGCTTGTGGTCGGGTACTTCTAGAAGCGGAACAGGTTTTACGCCACTGCCCCAGGCGGTCTTCTAGTGCTGCTGCAATTGTTTGATGAAGGCTTGTGCAAAGCTTGATTCAGTTGTGAGGGACACGAGAAACCGCTCTACAGTGACACCTGGGATTTGCCTGCAGTCCCCAAGTCGCACGGCTCGGAATCTGAGTGTGAAAGTGTTCCTTGCAATTACGGTGGCGTGGCAGTGTCCATCTTGGGTCTCCCGTCGCCTTCCGCTGTGTTTGAAGAAGCTGAGTTTATGAGCTCTTCGCATGGGCTTCAGTTCGAAGCTGGTCAGCCGTGCATAGCATTAGATTACACATATTTCTGTGCACCATGTCAATCGGCCGTGGATAGGTTGGAAAGGCCGAGGAGGAGGCTGTAAGCAATCTGCATGGCTGAAACACAACGTGCCTATGCCTGCCGTCAGTGCCGCGCGTATGTCGAAAACGTCAGTGCCTTTGCAGATGTGACTTTTTGTGCTGCAAGCATTTGAGGTACCCAGTGTGTTTTTTTGTCGGACACACAAGGAAGCCCCGAAGTTAGACCGGTTCCAAGAGACTTCTGCAAAGGTCGATGCGCTTCCAAAGCCTTCAAGGGCCAAAGAGTTTGGAGACGCTGCAGGAAATTGAGCACATCACCAGGCCGGCTTCGTGTGGTAGCAAGGCCGCTCTCCATCCGGTAGGCTCAAGATAACAACAACCGTAGCCAACGTGAGATGATGTAGTAGCCACCCTTGTGAGTGCGACTATCAAAAAGGCTAGCAGTAAAGGTAAAGAGCAGCAGAAGACGCAGCAGTGCTGGTAGTAGAGTGGCGGTGGGTTTAAAAGTTTCGCAGCACTAGTAGTCGTAGTAGTCGTCGTAGTAGCAGTAGTAGTCGTAGTCGTAGTCGTAGTCGTAGTCGTAGTCGTAGTCGTAGTCGTAGTCGTAGTAGTAGTAGTAGTAGTAGTAGTAGTAGTAGTAGTAGTAGTAGTAGTAGTAGTAGTCGTAGTAGTAGTCGTAGTAGTCGTAGTAGTAGTCGTCGTAGTCGTCGTAGTCGTCGTAGCAGTAGCATAAGCAGTGGCCGTAGCCGTGGCAGTAGCTGTAGTAGCAACAGCAGCAGTAGTAGGAGGAGTAGTAGTAGTAGTAGTCGTCGTCGTCGTCGTCGTCTAGGACGACCTCCGCAGCCACCACCACCACGACTACCCCCACTGTTTCATTTTCTACCCCGACTTCTAAAGCTGATGTTCCTATTTCCGCTGCTACTGTTACTGCTACTGCTGCTGCCTGTACGGAGTATTACGCTTGTCGTACAGCAGAAGCAGCAACAATCAGATGTCAGCAACCCTGAAAAGGCAGACATGCTTGGAAGTCGCTCGCCATGCAGGTGGCACGAGAATCGCGAAAAGCTCAGAGGTCCGCTGGAGGAGGATTCCTGTCGTTCCTGTACGTGGTGCATCTTGACATGACACGTTCCACTTGTGTTGATTGCTTTTGCTTGTTCAGCATTAAAGTGCTCCGCGCCAAATGCTGATGCTTACTTGTCGCATGGATTTTTCTGGGGTCGGATATCCTCCAAGATGTCGGCGGCGCTTGCTGTGCACTGCAGATGCCAGAAAAGGTAAGACGTGGACAGGCTGCCGCTTGCATAGGCCTGCTCGGCTACGGTTGTATCGAGTTTAGATGTGGCTTGCCGAAGTGCTCCACTCAAGAACGGCGCAAAGATATGCATCACACGGGGCCATGACTTTAGATTGACCCTGGCAGCATACTTGCACAAACTGGGCCGATCGTGTTGAACTCACTCGAGCTCTTGTTGTGGCTCCTGCATGTGCGAGGCAGGTTCCGCCTCCGCGGACAGTGAATTGGTAGCAGTGCGGCCAGGGGACAGTGAGCTATGAGCAAACTCTTTTCGGAGTGTCAAGCTTATGTTCAGATTCAGTCTTACTACTAGTAATATAGTTACTGTTACTACTACCACTACTACTACTACTATTACTACTACTACTACTACTACTACTACTACTACTACTACTACTACTACTACTACGATTAGTCCAGGTAGAGCAGACTTTTGCTTGCAATTTCTACATGAGCTCTCGATGCGTGAATTTCAGACCCTTAGTCCGAAACCGCAAACAGCAGTAGGACTTGGAGATTCATGGGTTCCTTTAAGGGTCCCTTTAAAGGGATCTATAGGGATTCTATAAGAGTGTATAGGGTTTAGGGTTCAGGGGTAGTCATAATTGGGGTTATAAGTTCCCGAATAAGGGTTACAAGTATGGCTACTTTATTTATAACTCCACTTAGAACTACCCATGAACTTCCAAGTAGTAATCAGTAGCAAATAATATCAGCAACAACGGCAACAAATCGTAAGAATAGTCACAGTAGTAACAACAGTAGTAGTACTGGTAATCCTCGTAATGCTTGTAGTACTAGCAGTAATAGGAATTGCAGTAGTAGTAATAGTAACAATAGTACTAATAGTAGTAATAGTAATAATAGTAATACTAGTAATACTCGTAATAGTAGTAGGTACCCGTTTTCACCTCTTTCCCCCTCCCGAGCATCTGCTCACGACCATTTTTCCACTCGCCATCGTCTCCTCATGACGGCACAAACCCCTCCTTCCACTCACATGTCTCGGATCATCTCCTCATCACTGCACGAACCGACCATATTGAAGCCCAATGCGGCCCAATATTTCAATATGGCTTTCCCGGGGCCCGGCCCATATTGAAATATTGAACCACATTGAGTTTCAATATGGCGGATCCAAGATCCAAGATCGCACGGGGCTCTTGGGGAGGAATCTTGGATCATGGATCTTGGATCTGCTATATTGAAATTCAATATGGCCTCAATATTTCAATATGGCTCTCCCTGAATCCAAGATTCTTTCCAGGAGTCCTGTGCAATCTTAGATCTTGGATCTTGGATCCGCCATATTGAAATTCAATATGGCCTCAATATTTCAAAATGGCTTTCCCTGAATCCAAGATTCCTTCCAGGAGTCCCGTGCAATCTTAGATCTTGGATCGTGGATCCGCCATATTGAAATTCAATATGGCCTCAATATTTCAAAATGGCTTTCCCTGAATCCAAGATTCCTTCCAGGAGTCCCGTGCAATCTTGGATCTTGGATCCGCCATACTGAAAATCAATGTGTTTCAATATTTCAATGTGGTCCTCTGCCCTTCTTGGTTTTGCTATCTTCACGGCTCCTGTGTTAGTCTGCATGTGAATGTCTGCGGCGCCCAAAAAGTCGAACAAACCAGTGGCCACCTTGCCACACTAACCTGCAAAGATTGTTTTTGGGCTTGTTTGGGACCGTACAACACTTTAGCAAAAACATTTTTTTGTTGGTTTCTTGTAAAAAGTGCTGCGCTGTCACTAAAAAACCAATCTTTTTGGAGGCCTGGTGGGCTAGCCTGAAAGACTGGGCAAGATAGGTTTTTTTGTGACAGTACAGCACGTTGGCAAAAACGTGGTTTCTTTGGGACAGTACAGCACTTTTGCAAGAACATGGCTAAAGTGCTGTACTCTTTCACTTCCGCCCTGTGAGCGTTCTAAATTTCCGAGGACTTGTGCTTTGCCGCCTCGCTGAAAGCGCGGTTTATGAAGCTTGGTCTGGTTGTCATGTGAAACTGTACAACACTTACAACCACTACCACGGTTTGTGTTTGTTTTCTTAGAGACGCCAGAGAGACATATTTTGTTTTTGGCTGCCGGTCTCACAGACTGTTTAATGTTTACGTTTATCCGATTGCACAAGTCCTGATGCAAGGATGATAAATGTGATGCTTCAGTTTCAGTGTACACTATTAAACGTTAAATCTGCATGGTAAATGAAATAGAATAGTGTAAGTGAAAGACTGCTGTCAATTACATGGTCGAGGCAGTAGTAGGAGCGGGCACAGTAGCAGCAGCTGCTGTGAACAGGTCGAATTTCTGGGTCTGTTGGTATTTAGGGAGGTGGGGGGGAGGGGGGTGGTGGCATATATATATATATATAGATATATACATGGTAACATTAGAACAATGTGTATATACATATATATGTATATACACACTTTATATACGTAGGCAGTCGCACGAGGTCTGACATCATTGGTAGACTGCCCAAGCCGTAAAAGCACACCAAAGACTAAAAAAGCATGGATCTTTCAGGAGGGGATAGCTAATAGTAATAATAGTAATTATAGTAGTAATTGTAATAATAGTAATAATTGCAATCATAGATAATGGTAAAAACGGTAGTAATAGCAACAATAGCAATAACAGCAATAATCGCAATAATCGCAATAATAATAATAGTAACAGTAATAAGCGTAACAATAGTAAAACTAATAGTATTAATCATAGTAATCATAGTCATTATAGTAATAATCGTGATAACAGTAAAAGCAACAATACTAGTAAAGCCGTAACACTAGTTGACATACAAACTTTCATGATGCTAGTAATAGTAGTGTGCTGGCTGGTAACAACCGTATTCACAGTATTCAGAGTAGTGCTAGTACTAATGGTACTAGCAACAGCACTAATCCATGGGTGCGAGGACTTGATGAAAGGCTCAAGGTTGAGATTGAGCTTCCTCGCAGTGGCAGAAGCACGCGGCTTGGCAGATCGCAGAACCATACTTATCGTAAATGGGTAAGTAAGAAAATAGACATGGCCAGACACGGACATGCAGTATCCGTCCGCCTACCAACACAAGCCAGTAGCAACTGCCATTTGTCGTATTCAGCCTTCCAGGCAGTCGGTTTACGATGTTTGGAACGTGCATATATCTTGCAATCACAACGTCTGCGATGTTTTTAGCGTATTTGTAAGAGTCGATATAGCCGCAGAAGTCGTTATGCCCGAAGCAGCAGTCAATATCACCACTCTAGTCATGCGTATAGCCATCAACATGATCACAGTTTGAGCAAGACTCAACTTTGCGACAAGAGCCATGTCATCAAAAACAGTGTTGCAGTTCTTATGACACCCATAACTTTCACTGTCGTCAAAGTGTCCGACCGAACAAACACACACAGAGTTGTCTTAGTCGTCAAAGCCATAATCACGGTTATCATCGTGGACTTGACGTTGGACATCATTCAGGTTTGAGAATATTCACGGCAGCGAAAGTCGTCCTCGTCTTCATGGCGGTCAGATTCGTCATCATCTTTAGCATCATGATACAAGCATGTAGCCACTATAGAAGTCGCAGTCATCACAACGACCGCATGCAGCAGAATCTGCATAGAATAGGGACCAGACCTCTTCGTGGCACTCACACCCGCCACACAACTCCACGTAAATCAAGGAGTCGCAATGCTCAACCGTGCTCAGGATAATGAGGATGGTTCCAGCGAGTCGTGGTAAGCATGGTGTTCACGAGACTCATGGTAGTTGCAGCAGTGATCAGCGGTCTATCTACGTACACTTTCCTTACCAATCACGTCATCGAAGATGGTCGCTGTATTCAAACTGACATGGGGATCACAAGTCATAATGTTCACGCTGGCAAACATGATGACGCCATCATGCCCCCGCATCGAACGCACCATACAGGTACACACCCACACACACACCCACACGCGCACACGCACACGACACACATTTACTTCGTGATAGTGATCAATAGCATGACAGAAACAGCGGCACGGTGTTGCAGCAAGCTTAGCAGTGGCAGTATCAACCGTAGCTTTCGTACCGGATTGAGTAGGTTCTTGCATGCGTGTACTGTTGTGCTGAGATGTCAGAACCCAGAACTCCCAGAACTCCTTCTCCCTTTCGAGTCGGAGACATAGGGGCGGGGCCTTCAAGTTTTCGCAACAGCATTTGCACATTGCATTGGCGAAAGTAGTCGCCTAAATGCAGCCCACATCCGGATGGATGGTCCTTTTTCTTACACTCAGACTTCCCTCTGACAGGTTATTTTCCGGCGTCCAAGATGGAGCGCCGTGCTGATCGACTTCTCATCGAGTCTGCTTTCGACCTGCGCACAGGCAAACTGCTAATGTGTGTGCAGCGCACGTTGTGATTCTTGGAATGGTTGTGTTCAGAGGCTGGCATTTCACGTTCAAGACTTGTGCAGGCATCGCATCGGAGTTCACCGTATCGGAACTGGAAAATTTGCACCGCGAAGTCGCAGAGCGATTTGAAGATCTGGAGGAATGACTGGGACCAGGTCTGCGCAGAATGTGATGGTCTGAAGCTCTGGAGCAGCTTGAGCTGTTGCGAGATTTTTCGAACCATGCTCGGAACCGTCACGTCAGCTCTGCTCTCCAATCTCCCCATGCAAAGGTGCAATACGCATCAGGCAGGAGTTGGTTTCAAGTGGAAACGAGGGCCAGCACCAGACCTGTCTCTACATTCTGACCTTCGGTAGAAATGTGCCGGCGCAAAAAGTTGCCAGACTGGGTGCTCATGCACAAGTTCGTCGGTGTGCGTCGTTCGGAGGTTGTTGTTTTTTTCCGCGGCAGCTTATGCACTTTGTTGTTGGCAAGCGCACAAGTCTGTGGGTCGAGCCCAACCACAGGAAAATACTCAGTTCGTATATACATACATATATATATATGGGTACCCCCCTATATGGGGTCCCCTGGGTTTTGGCACACCCAAACCACTAAACCATTAAACCATTAAACCATTCCTTTTGCTCCATACCACTAAACCAAAAAACCATTAAACCATTAAACCATTAAACCAATCCTTTCCCCCAGTGGACCCAAACCAATAAACCATTAAACCATTAAACCAATCATTTCCCCCAATGGACCTAAACCATTAAACCAATAAACCATTAAACCAATCATTTCCCCCAATGGACCTAAACCATTAAACCATTAAACCATTAAACCAATCATTTGCCCCTATAGAGAGAGACACATCCCTGTATGGGCCGAAAGCATTGGTTTAATGGTTTAATGGTTTAATGGTTTAATGGTTTAGTGGTTTAGTGGTCTAGTGGTATGGAGCAAACGGATTGGTTTAATGGTTTAATGGTTTAGTGGTTTAGTGGTATGAAGTAAAGGGATTGGTTTAATGGTTTAATGGTTTAGTGTTTTAGGTGCATTGGGGGAAAGGATTGGTTTAATGGTTTAATGGTTTAGTGGTTTGGTGGTATGGGGTAAAGGGATTGGTTTAATGGTTTAGTGCTATGGGGCAAAAGGATTGGTTTAATGGTTTATTGGTTTGGCTCCATTGGGGGAAAGGATAATGGTTCAATGGTTTAGTGATGGGTCTAGGGCTGCCTACTACGCAGGTGTCCTGGTTATAACCGGGGACAGAGGTTATAACCAGGCTGCAAAATACGTTCAGGGTTTGAAGACTCCCGCCGTGCCCTATAGATCAAATGGATTGGTTTATTGGTTTGATGGTTTAAGTCTTCCGTGTCGTATCGCGCAAGCGAGCCGGTATAATGGTTTAAGTCTAAGTCTCCCCCAAACCCTAGCGCCAAACCCTAAGCAGTAAAACCCAAACCCAACACTTGATGGTGAACCTGCAATATTGGTAAACTGTGTCGAAACACCGGGGGGCTTACATACCAGGGTTGTGGTTTGTAAATTGGGGTGCCTTGATTGTTTGTTGCACAATATAAACCTTACGAAGCAAATCTGTGCCACCGCTACTTCATCAACACCTAGACCTAGATCCAAACGTTCGAAAGTTTCGGTGTTTCAGGGGAAATGTAACCGCAATGAAACTAAACAAGGACTAGAAGAAGGTCCGAGGTAATTGGCATGTATTCGGTTGTTGAGGCATGATGCAGTGCTTTGTAACAAACATAATTCCGGGGACCATATGCGCATTCCCCAACTTTAGCGGAAAGGCTATATGGCGGACTTTACATGATGGTCTGTCCGTTCCAGTACATCGGGCTTATGAGATCTATGTACACATTGAGAGAATAGCCGCTAACATGTCAATGACCCAGGAATCAAAATGCGGAAGATGAAGGGTCTCTATCGGGATTACAGTAGGTCAGTAAGTGTTGTCAACATTGGAATATCACGGTACGCAAAAAAGTTGAGATACGACTGATACGACGTCATTGTAGGGAGAGATAGTATATCAAAGCTTACAGCGTGGTCAGGTTTCATCACTTCGTACATAGGCGAACTGGTTGCAACGTTATGTTCAAACATCGTTCCAAGGAAGCAGGATTTCGATGAGACGAAACTGATAAGAATATGTGTGGTGAGCGATTTGCAACTTGCAAACTGTTAGGTTTCCTCGCTCGGCACGTAGAAAATTCCTTGCAATGCTATTTCCAACTACATGGATGTACCTCTTTCGAGGAGTGATTCGGTGTGTGTTCACCACTTTTTCTAAAACGAGGAGCACGTTCTGGATTGGGAACAATGGCTTCTGTTCGACCTTCAGAAAATATTCACAAGAACACAAACAGAAATTCGGACAAGCTAGATGTAGCTTTATGGTTTTCAGTGAGCTTTACGTGATGGTTAAGGTATGCTGATACAAAAAGCACAGGCCTCATCACTGAGCATATAGAAACAGTGCCAAGCTTAAGAAGCGACGCTTCATGTCGTCCCCCAGGAAAAATACTGTACAAAGTTTGCCAAGCTTGTAGTGTGCAAGTTTTCAATTTTGGCTTGGGGCAGCCGTCATACAGAAATAAGGAATGCACCACTCAAACATACCTACCGGATATACCAGTGTCTACAAGCAATCACATAGGGGCACAGGGATATGTCATTGAAAGCTATCAGTTTGCCAAAACGTCATAGCAATGCGCCCAACAACAGAGACTTTGATGGGATTGCGGCATTACAGTACAAAGATGGAAAACTTTTCGTTCCAAAATTTAGTTCGCGATAAGGAATGACTGAACCAGACTAATGACTACAGCACGCTTGTTGGAAAAAACTGAAATATCGATAATGTATACCTGATTATAAATTATTCGAATGGTTATAACCTTGTCGGCTGGTTATAACCTACTCGGCTGGTTATAACCTAGTCTGGTGGTTATAGCTCAGTCAGATGATGCAGCGAAAAACGTAGGGGACCCCAAATAGGGGTGCGCCCATATATATATATATATATATATATCACTCTGGTAAGTACCCATTTATGAGCAGTAAGCTAATGGAGAACAACAATATATGTATGTATGTATGTATATATGTATGTATATATGTATACATACGTACATGCAGAAATCTAAATATGAATCATAGGCAAATAAGTAATGTAAAACATTTACGCTATACATGTAGAAGACTTAGGCGTCTTAAATCCCGCACCCGCCTATGTATACGGATTTATACAACATATACGTAGTCAGCACCGGCCCTTGCAGGCAACAAGAGCTGTGCTGGCTTTCCTTGCAAAGCGTGCAGCTCTCGGAATTGTAGGGCAGTAGGATGCCGTAGGCCAGCGACCTCATCCATCAGCAAGTCAATGTATTTACCTTGTTTCTAACATTCCCCGATGCACTTACAATATTGTTTTTTTGCCAGGGCAGTGTCACATTTCCCTGTATCTGGCGATTCTGGGAGAGCATGGGCTCGACGCAAGCATCGTGGGGACACCATGAGATCCGCACACATCCCGCTCCGCATGAGTGTGCTAGCGTCGAGAGCCAAGTACTGGCATTTTATCTCCTCCAAGAGATTCGAAATATTCTTGTAATTGTCATGACATTACTTGTTGTTTCTATTAGTACTATTACTGCCAATCTATTGCTACTATGGCAAGCATCGCTATCACTACCATTATCAGATTTGAATTAGCATCATCACGATGATGACGACTATTAATATTATGATTGCTTTTAATTCTTTTTAATATTGTAATGGGCACATCAGGCAGGCTGAGAGCTGCAAAGGCTTTCTGCTTTTTCGCGTCATAGTTTTGACATCAGCCAGCATGAACCGCCAAGCATCGGATTCAGAAAGTATTGATGAGATTATATGCGGCTGGGCCCCTGGCCCTCTAAGTAGACCTTAAAGAATCTCAATCTGCTCAGGCCATCCAGTAACGGCAGATGTGCGTGATCGGCTTCTTCGAAGCACGCCTGTGTTGGAGGCAAGGACGAAGACATCAGCCTTCAGATGTGAGCTTATGAAACTTGTATTACAGGTTTCTAGAGCTTGTTGTGGTGCCGTGCTGAACACAAGACCGCCGTATGCTCGGTAATGGAAGTTTATTTTCTCATCTGCTGGTGTTGCTACTCCTGACCTGTAGCCTGAAGAGTAGAGGTATGGGCCAAGCAGATTGACACCATAAACCTCTAGCAGTTTCGGGCACTGCAGTGCAAGGAGAGTGGCCATCAGCAAATGTATGTGGAATGCGACGACCTTTTGGCATGCATGGCAACAAGAACACAAATAAGAACAGCTCCTAGACGAGCTTCTAAGCGGCCTGGCATGGTCGCGTGCCCTCTTGGCAGGCATTTGGGAACGCACACACGCGACAGAATTCCAACTCCAGCCGTTTCGGGAAGTTCATCGAGGTGCACTTTGAGTCGTTCTTTCAAAGTCTGGCCGCAAGCTTTCTGCAACGTGCAGGTACATTTGGGAGATGGTGGGGAGGTGGCCGGGGCAACGTTGCAGCCCTACATGCTCGAGGTGTCTGTGCACCCGTTTACCGCATGAAGCTTGGGATTTAAGAACGATTAGGGTCAGCTGCTGCCGGGTACAGAAGCATAGTGTGCGGGCAGGCGTCTCGCGTAGTGGGTGAACGACCACATGGGGAGAGAACGTCCTGCCCTCAGCAGGAGGGTGTGAACTGGCAGGCTTTCTTGCTGTTCCGATCGTACAAAGACAAAACATGAGTCTGGTTCATCGTGCCTATGTATGTTAATATAACTATAATAAGGAACCCTCAAGACCCTATTCTAAATATCAAGGCCCCTACATTCGACCATCCGACAGCATTCGAGCGAGGATCGACATCGTGGAAATAGCAGAATATATATATATATATATATATATATATATATATATATATTCTATTCTATTATATTCTGGTCTATTCTATTCTATTCTATTACATTACATTATATTATATTCTATTCTATTCTAGTCTATTATATTATATTATATTATATTATTATATTATATTGTATTGTATTATATTATATTATATTACATTATATTTTATTATATTATTTTCTATTATATTATATTATACTATATTATATTGTATTATCTTATATTGTATTGTATTATATTATATGACATTATATTATATTATATTATATTATATTATAGTATATTATATTGTATTATATTATACTATATTATATTATATTATATTATATTATATTATATGATATTATTTTATTATATTACAAATAGATATATCTATATATATATATATATATATATATATTCATTATACTCCTGTGAGAGGTACCACGTCTTCTACCTCCTTCGGGCGGCCCTACAGGTGCTGGCAGACGCGGCCCCAAAGGCGGCAGATGTCTTGCATTCTGAAAGACTGAACGTTATAAGTGGGCTTTTAGTCAGGGTTGTGTGCACCGAGAATCCAAAAAGCAAAACACGGCAACACCACACCCCATGCGCATGCAGACGAGTACGCGCACGCGCGGGTGCAGGCGCAGGTGCACGCGCGCGCACACAAGCACGCACACGCACTCACACATGCACCCACGAACGCACTTTTCACACCCACACAGTCACACTAGGACAAAGGAACGACGTAGCACAAGAATAAAATCAAAGGTGAACAAAAATTAAGTGTGCTGTAGGGAGGAAAGCTTCGTTGGGGGGAGCTCTTCCACAACCCCCTGCCGCCCTGCAAGAAGACTGAAAAGGAAACAAGGAGGGGAGTAACCTCCCATAACCCACGAACGACCGTAGCACACACACATACGTACATACCTACCTACATCCATCATCGCTGCATCAGTGGCCCCTCCACAGTGGTCTGGAAGGAGGAGCATGGAATCTGCTTCTGGGCCTGGAGTCCTTGCAACTACTTCAGGCTCGAGATCTCCAAAGTGGAGTTTCCGAAAATAGGGGTTCCTTATTTTGGGGTCCTTAAATTTATGAGGATCGTACTATTTAGGGGTAGCGTATTTGGGTACCCTATTTTCGGAAACTCCCATATCACGACGACATCTCAAGAATGCCGAACTTACGGGAAGGCTGTACCAAACCCCGACCCACCCGACTCGTACTAGTACTGATGCTAGGATTGGTACTACGACTAGCAGTAGTAGTAGTAGTAGTAGTAGTAGTAGCAGCAGCAGCAGCAGCAGCAGCAGCAGTCAAATCGCCGTGGGGTCGCCAGTGCGTTGCTGTTGACAACAATGCTGGATGATACGGTTTCGATGCCAAGGACGATTCTCATGAGAGTGACTCTTTGATCACTCGTAGTACATGCGAGGTCGGTGTTCAGACTGTCAGACCACGTCCTACAGCAATCTTCCTGCCATTGCCAGGTCAGCGGGTCTGAAGCCCAGCTGGGCTCCGGTAGAAGGGCTTCAGGTTCACGCTTCAAGTTCGGGGCCTTTCAAGGCCTGTAAATTATTTTAGGGTTCTGACTCGATTTGCAAGCTCTGCTTAAGAATCTCTCTACTCCAATAGCAACAACAACAACAGCAGCTGGTACTGCTACTGCTACTACTACTACTACTACTGCTACTACTACTACTACTTCTACTTCTAGTACTGGTACTAGTACTAGTACTCGTACCAGTACTAGTAGTAGTAGTAGTAGTAGTAGTACTACTACTACTACTCCTGCTGCTGCTACTACTACTACTACGACGACTACTACTACTGCTACGGCTACATGCCGCGGCTCCAGAATCACGACTTGAAAAGTTGAGCTGCAGGCAATAGGCCCGACCGAAACCTTGAATTGTGTTGATGACTGGAGCCAGCTTCGTGACCATTTTCTTGCGAGCGTGGCTGCTAACATGCCCTGTTGCAGCAGACCACCGGGGCCGCCTAATTGAGGATTATAAATTGATTCAAACTAGGGGATTCTTCAAGTGTCAGGATTATACTTTGACTCATACTAGGGCTCCCTCAACTGCATTCCTTAAGTAAGGAGTTTTGCAGTCTCTGGGTTCGCCGGAGGGCTCTTGTTGCTGGAGTTCACATCAGCCCCATGCCACAAACCATGAATAGTAAGACTTGTCTCGTAAAGACGCTTTGGGAAGCCAGGGAGCTATAGTATAGTATGGTATAGTATGATACACTTCGCACGTTCTCAAGCATTCGTTCTTGGCAGCAGAGTGCACAAGGCCCTTGTGGGATCGGCTCGCCGTGGACAAAGCATGGAAAGATTTGGCTTCACTCTCAGCTCTGAGGTCAGAACAGGTCTCGTCATGTCGACGAAGAGAATCCTGCGGAGTCGTTTCGGTCATGTTATGATGCGCCACGTTGACCTTGACGGTCTGCAAAGCTCTGTCCATTCCGACTGTTGCAGACTTAGATGCTCGAGTTTTGATCTGATCAGTGCTACTCAGGCGAGCGCTGCCAGCACACTAATGGACACCTCCGTCAGGCATTTTCGCCACAGTTTCAAACTGAAAGTTGGCCTCTTTGTCCCTTCTTTTCCTTTCCCTGTGTCTGTTTACTTGACAGGTTGCAGGACGGACCGCCCAACGATGTTTGTCTCGAGTGGTTTGAGGCTGGCGTCTGACTCTTCGCCAATCATGGGAAGCAAAAGCGAGTTGCTATAATACACGATACTATACTATTACTATACTATAATATTCTATAAAATACTATACTATAATATTCTATGAAATACTATAATGTAATATACTCTACTATACCATAGTATAGTATACTATACTATCACATGCTATTATATAATATACTATGCGATACTTATATTATGCTATAACGTACTCTACTTTACTCCACGATTACTATTGAGTTGGGGCTTCTCATCTTCAGGCATTGCTGCAGGGCCTCCTGGCTACCGGCATGAAGCTTCCAGAGGCGGGTCTTGGAGTGTTCGCAGGGGTTGAGGGCTTTTTCGGGTAAAGGGCTTCATTGGGGTTTAGGGTTTAAGGCATAAGGGTTTAGGGGTCTAGGAGTTTAGGGTTTGGGGTTTTAGGGCCGGATTGCGCTGGGGCTATGGGGTGGGGGCAATCTCAAGACTGGAAAGAGATCATGTCTGATATACGATACTATACTATAATATATTCGAATATTCTATAATATACTATAACATACTATAATAAACTATAATATACTATACTATAGTATGCTATACTATACTATAGTATACTATAGTATAGGCCCCACTTCTCGCAGTTCTGGTGATGCCCAGGCAGCTCGACTCCATGAGTTTCTGCCTAAGAGCTCGCCTCCAACTAGCAGATTCAGAACTGCTGCTGCTGCTGCTGCCGGGAGAACCGTAAAATTCTAAACCCTAAACCCTAAACTCTAAACCCTAAACCCTGAACCCTACACCCTAAGAAAAGAAACCTAAGCCTCAAATCCTCAACCCCGGAGAGTCGGTCAAAGTCTGCGTCCTTGGGAGGGAGTCTGCCAGCTGCGGGCTCCTGGGGACTCCTCAAGCCTGAAGGAGAGATAAGGGTTGTAGTAACGGGCTCTTTACAGGGATCTATAGGCTTCCTTAAAGGGATCTTAGGGTTTTGGGTTCAGGGGTCTACTTAAAGGATCATGGGACTTAGTAACTAGGGTTATAATTAGGGTAAGTATACTTATAACCCCAATTAAGGTACTTATGAACCCAAAACAACCCCATGCCCAAAGGCCATACGACCCGAGCCCTAAACCCTAAACCCTCGAAGCCTAAACCGCTAAACCCTAAACCCTAAACCTAGAGCCACTAACTTCGCAAGAGGTGGCAGAGTGCTGCCGTGTGGTCGCAGCCGTGGCTGTACTTTCAGACCCAGAGCTAGGCCACTTGTCATGGCTGTGTTTTTGAGATTGAAGGTTTTTCGGCTAGTTTAGGGTTTCGGGGTCGAGGGTTATAGTTTAGCATTACATTTTGGACTATTATAGTATATTATAGTTTTTTGTTTAGTCTAGTATAGTATAATACCAGGTGAGGAATCACTGACGGCAGCTGCCACGCTCCTGCGAGTAGAGGAGCCCCGGAATGCAAATGCGGTCTTATTCACTCTTTCATGGTCTGTGATTTGTTATCATAACATATTGCATGATTTTATATGTGTTACTCCTCGTCTTAGAGCGGTTGTCACCGTGGGACTGCAAGGCGTAGGCTCTAGGAACAGAAGAAGGAACCCTTCCACAGTACAAAGTGATCGGACTCTGTATGTGGCCTTCAAAGCTCTGCAGTGTTTAGGGACAAGAAGACTGAGCCAGGGATACAATGCGAGGCATTCTTTGTGGGAGTGTACGGACCCTTCGACCCCCTCATCAGACTCCCTCCCAGGCCAGAGTCACGACCGCTGTACACGGGCATTGCACTGCAGTTGTATTTGGCCGGCCCAGTTCGTAGAGGTTTTCCTGTTGCGTGATGCTCCTTTGCATCATTCTATTTCGCCGCTCTTGGTGCTTCTCCCAGACCGCGGCCAGAACTGAACCCTAAAGGCTAAGCTGTATGTCTGGCTTTCAAGAGTCGTTAGCAGCGCTTCCGCTGACGCCGGCAGGAGCCGGCGCTTCGGAGCTTTCTCTCGCGCACGGAGATGCCTTCAGCTCAGCATTCAACACAAGGGTTTAGGGGTTTACGGTTTAGGGTTTAGGGGCTACCTCTCATGCTACTACAGCAACCAATCCTTCTGCAAATGTGGTCCCAGCAAGGCACCAAAGTGAGAAAGTGGTGCCATGCAATGCAAGCAGTATCCCCGTCATCGTCAACCAGGTTACGGCGATGACGACAGCGAATGTACGACTAGGGTGGCTTCTGCTACTTGCACAACTCTTGGGGTACTGCCTGAGTATACTGCTGCTTTTGCTGAATGTGTTTAGACTTTAGACTTCATAGTGCATTGAACATGACGCGAGGGTTATGATTATGCTAGTGGCCTTGGCGATGGTGTACGTGAAAAAGTCTCGTGATGCTGGAGATGATGGTGATGTTACTGGACACAGTCGCCGAAACATGTGTTGTAGCTCAGTATGATAGACTCTTCTTTCTTCTCGGTCGAGCCGCCTGCTGCTGTTGATGATCAGTGATTCCAAGCAGCAGAGGTCTCTTGGTGCAAAAGAGCGTGTCTTCCGGGAGAGGACACGCAGCGAGGCAAAGGGTCTCTAGACATGGCGCAGTGACGTGTGCTGAGACCGTTTGGAGCATGGATCTCTGCTTTGCAATCACATAGTCACATGGCAGTAGTCGGGCAGTCAGCAGACATGAGAATACAGCGCTGCTACTGTTTCGAACCTCCAGGCAGCGACACTACGAGCATCCTTGGCACAGGAGCTGTACGCAACACTCTTCTTGTCCTCGCCCGAGTCTGGAATCGTTCACTGGACCCCGGGACCACTGGTTTACCACACGACCAGACCGCCAAAATACCACAACACCCCGATTGCCACAAACCATAGCTGCAGCAGAACAACAGATTGAAAGACTTCATAAGAGCATGGGGAACCGGGGCAGAAGTAGCAATCCAGTCTCGCGCTGAGGTGGCTCACGCGCTTCGTTGCTCAAGGAATTGCGCCTCCACAGGCTGGAGAATCTTGTCACAGCTTTCTACAGGTTCCAACCTGGAAGCCCTCAACCCTAAACCCTCAATCCTAAACCCTAAACCCTAAGCCCTAAGCCCTCAACCCTAAACCCTAAGCCCTGAACCCTAAGCCCTAAGCCCTCAACCCTAAACCCTAAGCCCAAAGCCCTGGTCCCTAAACCACCGTAAACCCTAAGCCCGCCACCCTAAGCGCGAAAATCCTAAAAGACCCCGTCTGAGCCCTGAACTTGGGACTCTGTTCAGGTGAAGTCCGGCCGTCTGCTTGGACTCCTGGACCTTTACGGCTTCGAGGCCTAGGGTTTAGGGTTTAGGGGTTGGTACGAGAAGGGGCTCCTTTAAAGGGTACTATAACGGCTCCTTTAAAGGGATCTATAAGGGCATTATGAGGGTTAAGGGGTTTAGGGTTTCAGGTTTAGGATTTAGGGATTTGTCTTTAGGGGTTCGAGGTTTAGGGTTCGGGGGTTTAGGGTTTGGGGAAGTTTTTTTCTCGGGGTTCCTTAGATTAGAGGCTACGATGATTGCCACTAAATTTTCTTGATGGCTTCCTTATCAGAACTATACCCTATTCATGTTCCTTAGGGCTTGTTTAGAGCTATACGGTAGCATATCCCCACAATCCCGTTCTACCTATTAACCCAAGAGTAAAAGGAGGGACCTTTAATAATGACCCCCAGGGATTTACCCTTAAATTAGCTATTATTTTCCCATTATGTAGCCCGTTATGGGGTAGGGATCCCCATTAAGGGTCCCTCCTCTTCCCCTTTGAATTAAGGCCCCTCCACTGACTGGAGAGCTTCGCGTTTCCGTCGGGCTCCCTTACCCAGACCCGGGAGGATCTAGAAAGTAGATCCCCTAATTTGGGGCCCTATACTATAGGCCCTATACTACTAAGGGTACTTTATAGGAACCCCAGTTAAGAAAGGGATCTACTTTTTGGATGGTTCGAAGGGTTCCTTTAAAGGGATGAAGAAGTGTAGTATAAGGGTTCCTTTAAAGGGATCAATAAGGGTACTATAAGGGTTCCTTTAAAGGGATCTAAACAGGTATTATAGGGTTTGGGGTTTTGGAGTTCAGGGGTTTGGGCTATGGAGTTTGGTAGGGTTTAGGAGCTTTGGGGTTTCGGGTCAGGGTCAGGACTTGTGAGGAAACCTGGTATTAAAGAGACACGGTTTAGGGTTTCGGGTAAAAGTGTAGATAAAGATTTCTACGTTGCCTGCTCCAGTCTGTGGTTTGGTGCGGTATAATGACAATGTTTGTCATGACCACGATCATGGTGGTGATGCCGAAATAGTAATCGTCGTTTTGAAACGGATGCTACCATTGATTGGAGTATTCCCGCCTCCCGTTGGAGTCGTGGGTCCTCTTTGGGATTGCACGACAGGTATTTCCTTCCAACGGCTTCGAGCAGTTCCTCATCAACTACTGCAAGCGCCCCGAGGGTTATCAGAGCTTCTAACTGCAATCGTCTTGGCGGGTTTTGGGCCCAGTGGAATTCGACGAGATGGCCTCTGAATCCACACTGGATGAGAGTAGTTGCAAGACAATTGGGTTTTGCATCTGGCTCGAGCGAGCTTTCCATCCCTTGTGTTTGGTATCCCACCATCCCTTAGAATCCACTTCATGTAGGATTTATAGCCCGCCTTGTTGATCAATTCGCTGCGTGTGCGTACCTTTGATCTCAAGATCTTCCGTTGACAAAGCCCGAAGGTGCTTTCAAAAGCAGGCCCCCGTCGCCTCCTTCTTTTTTTCGCAACGCCTGCCGCAACTCCCAGAGGCCCCAGCATCCTTAAACCCTCACAAAGGAGACCACAATGGGCGGCCGAACACCCTCAGAGCACGCAGTGACACACTCGCACGACAACCCAATTGGGATCAAACTGTAGAATGGGTGGAGAGGGTTTGGAGCATGACAGCCACTCTTGTTCGCCAAGGCAACGAAAGGCTGCAGCAATTCTTCAATCGTCAGGCCCTTCACTGGCGTGAAAGACTGCCTGCCTGCCACAGGAGTGTGCAGATTTAGCCGAAGCCCAAGCCCCCAACCCGAAACCCCAAGACCCGAAACCTTAGCCCCTAATCCCTCAAGTGCTCCTGGGGTGAGTCCCACCAAGCCTCACAGGTCTTCACCCGCGAGGCGGAGGAGTATGCTTCCGAAGGCTCTGAGTGCGGCAGGGTTCTGGACAGCCAGGGCTTGAGGCTCAAATCCTAAGCTCTTTGCAAATCCTCAACCCCGAAATCCTAAAGTTCCTGCAGGTTGAGGATGCCCTTAATATCCCATCATGCCCTGAATATCCCTAAACCCTAAACCCCTAACTCCGAAAGCCACAACGGTCCCCCAGTCCCCAGCCGCAGGCTTGGACTGCAACGGCCAGTGGAAGCAGCTGACCTCTGCCTGCCAGCTTGCAGCGCTGGCGCTCTTGGAGGCTCACGGTGCTTACCTTTGGTTAGTAGGGAATGGAACAATGGTAGTAATAGTAGTTAGAATTGCACCCTATTCCTCCATACCCTACTAACCAAAGATAAGGATGTGGTATATAGGGGGCCCTTAAATAATTACCAATGCCATTTTAGGGGGTGCCTGATTACAATTCTAGCATAGTATACCCCCAAAAACCCTATTCTAATTATTGAGGCCCCTCTTTGAAAGTTTGCGGCTTGGGTGCGGCGGAGTTTCTAGAGGGGGTTTACGGTCTCTCAGCTCAAAGGGCTGTCCTTTCAATTTCCTTGTTTCTGGTGAGAAGGAGACGGAAGGTCCTGATGCTCCGACTTCAAGTAGTATTGAACAGAAAAGACGACCGGATGCACACTATTTGCAGAAGCAGCCTCCTCTAAGCATGTCCTAGCCTTGCCTGGAGCCAGATTCTTGCTTGGACCTTCAACATAGCATGTGTTCAAGAATCGCTACATGCCTTGCTTGAAGTTTAGTATCTGAAGCTTGCGACCCTATGAAGCAGGACTACCGAGATTCCGCAAGTCTTAACAGGCCAAAACTCCGAGTCTTGAATCTCATTCTGAAATCCTTAGCTCGCTTCACTTGTGGTCACCACTTCTTTTTGCAAGTCCCTAAGTGCGATTACTTTTTCCTGGTATCCCAAAGGAACTGGCCACGGGACCCGAAGCCATGCTAGATCCTGTCAAAAAATCCTTAAGCCACGGTTTGGGGTTTGGGTTTAAGGGTTGAGGGGTTCGGGGTTTAGGGGTTCAGTGATTTAGGGTTTAGGGCTTCGGGGTTCTGGGGTTTAGGGGTTTCGGGGGGCTTAGGGCCTGAACCCGGAAATCCTACAGGGCCCCGGCTCCCTGGGCATCTTCGGCGTGGTCAACGATCGGTCGAAGTGCAACTTCGAGGAGCCTCCTAGGCTGAGACACCCGAAAGGCCGAAAGGAAGACTGGACTGCAGGATATACGAGCTGTGATCTGGCCTAGTAGAGCAGAATGGAATACAGCATACTATATAACGCCATATTCTACTCTATTGTATTCTGCTATACTAGAATACACTGGAGCATGCTGTTTAAGATGCAAGAAGACTGTTGCGGCTTCCGTCATCGTCGCTTATGGTGAAGGTCGTAGTAGAAGGATGAGCATTTTGGATTCATTCTTCTTCGTGCCGTCATCGTCGTCGGTCGTCGTCGCTGCAGCAGAGTTTGTACTTGGAGGTTCATGGGTAGCTATAAGTGGAGTTATAAGTAGGGCAACTATAATTCCAACCCACATTGGTGGACTTGCAACTCCACGTTTTACTACCCACGAACCTCCAAGTAGTGAGCACCTGAAGAGGGCAGCTGACGCACAGAGTGGCAGCTGCCAGAGCACCACAACTCCACCACAACCGCCACCACCGCCACCACCACCACCACCACCACCACCACCACCACCACCACCACCACCACCACCACCACCACCACCACCACCACCACCACCACCACCACCACCACCACCACCACCACGGCAATAACGACAGAACCCAGAACCCTGAAGTTCCTGACTTGCGGGGTCACCCGGAGGTGCTGAAGGAATCGGGATGATCCTTATCTGAAGCTGCGAGGGATCCCCTTGAGAACCCCAGGAGGCGCAGCCGGGTCACTCTGGCTACGATTGAAACCTCAAGAAGCTGTGAGGTTGGCTTCGTGCTATCTTGAGAATCCGTGCTGCGTCTCTTGAGCGGCTCGTTTCGTTTTGGCGCATGCTGGGCTCAAGCATCACGCCATCAACTATCCGATTACGCTACCACCTCTGCCCTGTCGCAAACTTTCGACAGGGCACTTCATGGGATTGAATTGGTCCTTCTGCAGCGTCCCAGTAGGTGACGATTCTGGGTACAGAACAAGGGCAAGGTGCACAGGGAGCCCTAAGCTTCCATGTACTCCAAAAGTATATACTTAGGCCTTAAAGTACCTATATAGGGATCCCTTTAAGGCCTAAGTATCTACTATAAATGTACATGGAGCCTCAGGGGAGGGTCTATGAGTCTATAGGAAACCCTAAACCCTAGCAGACGGCAGCAGGAGGACCAGGGAAAACGCCAAACAAAACCTCCGAGCCGCGCGGTTTTCTGGCGTTTGAGCGCCAGCCTCACCGGAGAGGAAGACTGGGGGTCTTGTTAAGGAACTTACTTTAAGTTACCGTATCGGGGATCTATAGTATCTATAAGTATAAGGAAACCAAATTAATTAGTACTTAACATGGTTTCCTTAGTATGGTAACTTGCATAAAATCCTTGGACAAGAGCCCAGAAGACTCTGAACTTCTCGCGCAGTCCGAGGTCCATGGAGCAGTATGGGAGCATCCCGCTTCACTCTGGCCAGGTGCGAGGATGGGCTGTTGACCTTCGGAAAGTTAAACTTGCAGTACCTTCTTGGGCTTTTTACAAGGTTCAGAGGCGGTTCTTGCGCCGTCTTCCGTGCTGTCTTACAGCCTTACCTGTTCTGGCCAACACTTTCTGGCGAGGCCAAGCTGAATCGCCCAAGGCGTGGCGTGGAAAGGCAAAGCAGTGGAGCAAGATTTGCTACCAATTGCAGCCCTGTGCAGGTTCAACTTGTGTCCTCTGACATACTGCTTGTTTGGGCCACGCCCTCGCGAATTCTTAAATTTTGCCTGCCCCCTGGCCTGTGAGTATGAGCCAAGGGCTGGGGAGCTGAGGCCTTGGATGGTCTTCGTGGTTATTCTGTTGGCTGGATCCTCATGGCGAGGGCTGGGCATGCGGAGCCGAGTCAAGGGGCGCTTTCGAAAATGTGGGACGACGCAGCATGATAAGGTCCGCCCTGCCAGGGCTTGTTTCTAAAATAACGCGGCTGGCGAAGTGAGGTCAGATCCTTCCAGATGCGGCACAAGCACTTGGCCTTTGCCAACACACTGACGGCCGTGCCCTTGAAGAGCAGGTAATATGCATACTTATTATTATAATATATATATATATGTATGTATGTATATATATATATATATATCGTATAGTATAGTATTACATAGATATCTTAGGCCATAAAAGAATATACAATCATGTATCATAATACGCTGTGCAAGGCCGCTGTCTGGCTCTTCACTTTGTGCGCGGCCCAGAAGTGCAGGTAATATGCATACTTATTATATATGTATAGTCTAGTATTACATAGACGATGTCACTGCAGAGGACAGTGTCTGGATTTGCAGCTTGTCATCGCCGAGGTGTGTGGGGTTCTTTGCTTTGGACAGAGCCGCGTGCAATGCTGAGCTTCTGCCACTGTCCTGTGCGAGTGTCTCGGTAAGGTGCGTCTTCAATCCTCGATTTCACACCTTTTGCCACGCTATTGATCTCCATGTCTAGCTGTCCAGGCGTGTGTATGAGTAGATTTGGGCATGTTACTTAAGCACGCTCGCTGAGATGCATGCATGCATGCATACATACATATGCTGCATGAATCCGTGCAGACATACCTGCATCCCTTCATGCAAGCCGACATAGTGCACTCAGCTTTGGAGGACTACGTACGTCGTACTTGCATATATGCATGTATGTATGTATGTATGCACGTATGTGTGTATGTGTGTATGTATGCAGGCATCTATGCCTGCATCCGCATGCGTGTATTCTGCGCTCTTGTTCGTCAGTCAAGCCCCCACCAGGCGGAAGCTTCGTGGAGAAGTCCAGCCGGCTTCCTGGCCCCTTGCTCGGAGATGGACATACTGATCTTGGCGCCACTCCCAAGCCTAATGTACCCTAAACCGTGACACTCTAAATGATTTCAACTCTGAGACCCAAATCTAAGTTTTGTCGACTGTGCTGGAAAGATTGGCGACTGAAATCGATCCGAGGATGAGCTTTACGGCCCTGCCTGGAGCCTACAGGGCTTTCAGGGTGAAGTGGCTTAGTAGGGCTGCCGATGTCTCGTAGCTTGACTAGAAGCAACAGCATTTCCGCGTTTCCGCATGTGCGTGCCTGTCATATGCATGTATGTATGTACATACATATGTACGTATATCTGA